CGATAATAATAGTAATAATTGATAATAACAATAAAAACAATAACGATAGCGGATAATAATAGCGATAACAGCAATAATAAAAATAACAATAATAATAACAGCAATAACTTCAATCACAAATAATAACAACAACAAAAAACAACAACACAAAAATAACAACAACAAAAACAGCAGAGGGGTGTTTATTTTATTGATCTGTCTGTCTGTCTGTCTGTCTGTCTGTCTGTCTGTCTGTCTGTCTCTCTCTCTTCTCTTGATCTCTCACTTTCCACCAACCCACTAAACCCACCCCCCACCCACTCTCCTTCCCACCCCCACCTTTCCTCCCATTTCACCTTCACCTCCCTTCCCACCCCCCCCCACCTCCCCCACCTTTCTCCACCCCAACATCAAAAACAACCCAAAAGTCACTCATTCATAAGGTCGATTTCATCAACGTTAACACCTAGGATTTCCAACCTTACCGCACTCACACAGACACAACTCCGTCACGGGGTTCCCTAGGGTAATGCCTTATGCCTTCGCTGCCAAGATCTGTGGCTTAGCATATTACTTTCCCGGGGATTGTGGCTATATAGAATGGGGAAATCTCAGCCTTATTGGACTACCCCAGAAGGACCAATAGAGTGATGCTATTTCTCTCTTCTTGTAAATAATAGAGATTGATGGGAGATGATAGAGAGGGGGAGTTGAAAGAGGTTTATTTTTATTACACATTTTTATTTCTGTTACGAGAGGTGTAGAAACAGTAGTAGTAGTAGTAGTAGTAGGATAGCTGAATATTAAAGGTAAATAAAATGGTAAGGGTTGTATTATTAGAGTGCTGAGGCCACGTTAAAAAAAAAAAAAAAAAAAAAAAAAAAAAAAAGTAGTAGTAGTAGTAGTAGTAGTAGTAGTAGTAGTAGTAGTAGCAGTAGTAGTAGTAGTAGCGAATAGTAAGGTTATAAAATTAAAACAAACATCAAACTTAAGACAAACTCGAAAAGACAATATCCAATAACAAAAAACATTGCAGCAGAGTTTCACTAAGGCGAGAAAACTCCCTCCCAAGTTCTTAATTCCCCCACACACTTGACGGGGAATTTCCCTGTGCTGTCTTTGGGGAATCTTCACGCCTCCGTCAGTCAGGGTAGCTTGGGTGAGACAGGCAGGCAGGCAGGCAGGCAGGCAGGCAGGCAGGCAGGCGTTCTTTGATGATGGTGAAGGAAGGATGGTTAAGGAGGGACGGTAAGGAGGGAGGGAGCGAGCTTAAAGGACTCCCCGAAGGATAGTATATAGCCGATAGGACTTTTAAAATCTCCTGAAGGGGGTATGGGAGGTTATCTACAGGAGTTCTACCTTAAGAGTCTTCCTCAACAGCCTCTTGACAGCGTGTTACATCACAACGCTTCCTCGTAATTCTACAGACAAGAGGCAGGAATTTATGGCGTTTGCATAATACATTTGTCTGACTTTTATACATAAGTTTTTTCATCCATCGCCTGGCGTTCATCCATTCTCCTGGCGTTCATCCATCGCCTGGCTTTCATTCATCACCTGGTGTTCATCCATTGCCTGGCGTTCATCCATCGCCTGGCTTTCATTCATCGCCTGGCTTTCATTCATCGCCTGGCTTTCATTCATCGCCTGGCTTTCATTCATCACCTGGCTTTCATTCATCGCCTGGCGTTCATTCATCGCCTGGCTTATTCATCGCCTGGCTTTCATTCATCGCCTGGCTTTCATTCATCACCTGGCTTTCATTCATTGCCTGGCGTTCATTCATCGCCTGGCTTTCATTCATCACCTGGTGTTCATCCATTGCCTGGCGTTCATTATCGCCTGGCGTTCATAGGATGGAGACTCCAGACGGTGGCAAGATCTCATGGGGTTTATTGGCACAATGTTGCGTTAATCGAGACCCTTGGGAGGTGTGTGTGTGTGTGTGTGTGTGTGTGTGTGTGTGTGTGTGTGTGTGTGTGTGTGTGTGTGTGTGTGTGTGTGTGTGTGTGTGTGTGTGTGTGTGTGTGTGTGTGTGTGTGTGTGTGTGTGTGTGTGTGTGTGTGTGTGTGTGTGTGTGTGTGTGTGTGTGTGTGTGTGTGTGTGTGTGTGTGTGTGTGTGTGTGTGTGTGTGTGTGTGTGTGTGTGTGTGTGTGTGTGTGTGTGTGTGTGTGTGTGTGTGTGTGTGTGTGTGTGTGTGTGTGTGTGTGTGTGTGTGTGTGTGTGTGTGTGTGTGTGTGTGTGTGTGTGTGTGTGTGTGTGTGTGTGTGTGTGTGTGTGTGTGTTGTGTGTGTGTGTGTGTGTGTGTGTGTGTGTGTGTGTGTGTGTGTTTGTGTGTGTGTGTGTGTGTGTGTGTGTGTGTGTGTCTGTGTGTCTGTGTGTGCGCGCTCTATTTAACATGTAGTCTATTGTAAAATTTTGTAGCGTAACTTTGAAATAAAAAGACAAATGACTTTAGAAAATTGTATTCGAAAATATCATAGAAGTACAAGTGTTTATATACAGGTACAAGTACAGTGTGATACAGGTACAGGTGTAGATAGTACAGGCGTAGATACGAGTACAGGTGTAGATACGAGTACAGGTGTAGATACGAGTACAGGTAGATACGAGTACAGGTGTAGATACGAGTACAGGTGGAAGCATGAGTACAGGTGTAGATACGAGTACAGGTGGATACGAGTACAGGTGTAGATACGAGTACAGGTGTAGATACGAGTACAGGTGTAGATACGAGTACAGATGTAGATACGAGTACAGGTGTAGATACGAGTACAGGTGTAGATACAATACAGGTGTAGATACGAGTACAGGTGTAGATAAGAGTACAGGTGTAGATACGAGTACAGGTGTAGATACGAGTACAGGTGTAGATACGAGTACAGGTGTAGATACGAGTACAGGCGTAGATACGAGTACAGGTGTAGATACAAAGTAGTGACTGTTGTGAGGTGACTGATAGTGACTGTTGTGTGCTGTCCTTAACCGAACGTAAGGTAACGCTGTAAAGTGACCAGGGCAGAAAGTTAAGTAAGTTTAAGTGAGTTGGTCTCAGGCCGGGTCGTTAGGGGCAGCTGGGAGAGGGTAGGGAAGATGAGGGGAGGGGAGGGGAGGGGGGGGAGGGAAGAGGGAAGAGGGGGAGGGAGCCAGCGACCATTAGAGCAGGTGTGTGTGTTTGACCGAGGTAGTTAGCCAGCCAACAGTCCATCGCATCATTTTATTTATTTTTTTCATTAAAAGGATAAATTATAAAAAAAACCATATACTCAAAAAAGTTATTTATTATGAACAAACTTATACATACGTGAATAAACTTACACATCATTCACTCACCTCAACCAAATCAAAATACATCCAATTTTTCAGCATTTTTTGAGAAATTTCCCCCAAAAAACAATATATTTAATTTTTTTGGGGGGGACAATTAAATTCATTTGGGGGTCCTAAGTGATTTTTTTTGTCACATATATATAACTTATCATCACTTTAATATATACTACATACAGGTATATATATATATGTTATTTTTGTTATAATTTTTGGTTTATAGATTTTCTGAGTACAAGTTAAAACGACTTTTTACCCCTTTTAACATTCACAAACCACCAAATTATATAATATAATTTGGGGGTAGTTATGAATGCTCTCTCTAAAAGACTTCAATTCTTTAATCTAATTCAACCTCTAATAACGTCAAAAGTTAATCAAGAAATATAAAACAGATGTATAATATGGACACCTTTCATATATATATATGTATATTACACCTTGATTATATAACCTTAATATATATCATCTATTTACATATTTTTAAAGACTTTCTAAGAGGTGTTATTTTATTACCATTTTCCTCACCGGTACACAAACAGCGTCTTTGTGTTCGAGTTTTACAGAGAATGAGTAAAATGTGTGTGTGTGTGTAGTGTGTTAGAGCACGCAGGAGGGGTAGGGAAGGAGGAAGAGGAAGAGTAGGAGGAGGAGGAGGAAGAGGAGGAGGAGGAGGTGAAGGTAAAGGAAGGAGAGGAGGTGGGAAAAGAGAATAGGATGAAAGAGGAAGAAGAGAAGTACGAGGAGGAAGAAGAGGGTGGAGAAGGATGAGGAAGAAGAGAATAGGATGAAAGAGGAGGAGGAGGAGGAGGAAGAAGAAGAGGGGGAAGAGGAAGAGGAGGGGTACAAAGTTAAGTTTTTAAAATACGGTTCATTGGATTCCTTTTGTCACGTTGTAAAAATTAGTATTTTTTGTTTGTCTGTTTGTCTTTCTTTTTGTCTCTTCTCTCTCTCTCTCTCTCTCTCTCTCTCTCTCTCTCTCTCTCTCTCTCTCTCTCTCTCACAACTTCAAGAATGATCAATTCTTTTTCTTGAAGTGTCAGCCATATTTATTCCACCTTTTATCTCCTAACTTTATCGCATTCTCTTTATCATTTATTCTTTCCTATTATCTTTACTTCCCCCACACCTGTTCTTTATCCACACCTGAGAGACAGACAGACAGACAGGCTATGAGACAGACAGACAGACAGACAGGCAATGAGACAGACAGACTAACTAAAAAAAATAAATTATCAAATATTCGTTTATTATCTCGATTCGTTGATTTATTGTATATTAGTTGTTCCTTTGTGCTTCTGTTTATCAATTTATTTCTTATTTCACTCATTCGTATCGTGCTATACCCCAAGCATCAGTCAGCTCTATGTATGCTGAGTTTGGTGGCTCGACGTGACCGCCCCATCAATCCGTATTAACGCAGATTAAAAAACCCCACTGCTACTTAACACGGATTTAACATTTGTTTTTTCTGGATATTTCTGAAGTTTATTGTTTTATTTAATTATCTTTAGAGTTTATTAAAGTCTTCGATCATTTTAATCACTTATTTTCTTTAATTTTTTTCATTTTTTTTTCATTTTTATTCAGTTTTTCTATCAGTTTTTACGTGTTTGTTCATTTTCTTCTTTCGTTTTTTCCATTCCATTCAATTCCTCTCTCTCTCTCTCTCTCTCTCTCTCTCTCTCTCTCTCTCACTTTTCCTTATCAATTTCTATCATTTTCTTTAATCTTCTTCTCTTCTCTCTCTTATAATTTCATTTTCATTCATTAAATTCCAATACATATTATTTTCAATTTTCTATGTCTCTTTTTTCTTTCTTTCTGCTTCTTTCTCGACTTCGTTTCCTTCTCTTCTTCTTTCTTCTCCTTCAATCTCTTCATTTCCTTTCATTCTTTCTTCGTCTCCTTCATTCTCTTCTTTATTTCCTTCATTCTCTTATCGTTATCGGCCTCTCTCTCTATTTCCTCTGTTTATCCAAGTCCTTCCTTTCTTCCTCCTAGACGGACCAGTGACCTGTATTGATCTCGTTGTGTCGTGTTCTAGAGGTCGAGAGGTCATGAGGTTAGGAGGTCATCAGTTATAGAGGTCAAGAGGTTATCAGTTATAGAGGTCAAGAGGTTATCAGTTATAGAGGTCGAAAGGTCAAGATGTCAGAAGTCAGGAGGTCATTACTTATAGAGGTCAAGAGGTTATTAGTTATAGAGGTAAAGAGGTCAGAGGTTATCACTTATAGAGGTCAAGAGGCCAGTGGTCATCTTATAGAGGTCATCACTTCTATAAGTCATCACTTATAGAAGTCAAGAGGTCAGAGGTCATCACCTATAGAGGTCAAGAGTTCAGAGATCATCATTTATAGAGGTCAATAGGCCAGAGGTCATTACTTATAGAGGTCAAGGGGCCAGAGGTCATTACTTGTAGAGGTCAAGAGGCCAGAGGTCATCACTTATAGAGACCATCACTTAATAGAGGTCAAGAGGCCAGAGTTCATCACATATAGAGGCCATTACTTGTAGAGGTCCAGAGGCCAATCACTCCGTATGGTCAGCCTGTCTGGTGAAGCGGTAGAAGCAGCCGTCGTCTTCAGGTGAGCGAGCAATCTCTTCCTCCTGCGGCTTCACCCTCTGCTGCCGAAGGTCAACACCCACCTGTAGAAGGATATGGTATTAATGTCTCTATCTCTCTGTCTCTCTCTTTATCTCTGTTTCTCACTCTTTATCTAGCTCTCTCTCTCTCTCTGTGGGTTGGCCTCGACGTCTCGCTCTCGACTTAAGTGGGAGGAGAGGGCCATGGCCTACCCACCTGAGCCCTGGTTGAGGCGTAAACCAAGTTACAACTCAATTTACAGACAATCTAGATACTTGTGTACCCTGAACTGGAGACGGGGTGGGTTGGGGGTGGGTTGGGGGAGGTTGGGTTGGGGGGTGGGTTGGGGATTGGTTGGGGGTGGAGATTGGGCAATGTGTGTGCTGTAACCCCTAAGGTGGGTGTATTGAGGCCCCAATTGCGTTCTCAAACACCCAATTACGTTCTCAAACACTTGATACGTTCTCAAACACCCCAATTACGTTTCAAACCCCCAATTACGTTTCAAACCCCCAATTACGTTCTCAAACCCCCAATTACGTTCTCAAACACCCCAATTACGTTCTCAAACACCCCAAATACGTTCTCAAACCCCCAATTACGTTCTCAAACACCCCAATTACGTTCTCAAACCCCCAATTACGTTCTCAAACACCCCAATTACGTTCTCAAACACCCCAATTACGATCCGTGACCTGCCAGTTACGTTCACTCAATGTATTTCAACTGGAGATTAGAACGAGCAATTCCGAGTCTTATCAGAGCCGTTCAGAGGAGAGATGGTACCTCGATTCCTATTGGCTGAATCTCTCCCATCATCTCGCTTCCCATTGGCTGAGATTCTCCCATTGTGTACAGGTGGAGGTGAATTGGGCTGTTAAGGCGTTTATCTAAGGGAGCCATTATATGAGGGGTAGTTAGCATACCTTGTTATGGGGGAGGAGGGTGTGTAGGGAGAAAAGGAGGAATGAGGGAGAAAGGAGGGAATTGTGGGGGAGTTATCTTGTTATCTTAGTTACTGTCTGTTGTCTGTCTGTCTGTCTGTCTGTCTGTCATAAATCCCAACTTAAATAAAATATAATAAAAATTCTCCTAATTCTCCCTTAAAGAGATAATTCCATCAATTTCTCCCTTAATTAAAGAGAGAGAATTCCATCATTTTCTCCCTTAATTAACGAGAGAGAATTCTCAGTCTCTCTCTCAACACCCGGTTAGCCCTGAGGTGAGGTTTTGGAGACGTGAGGGAGGATATTGAGGACTGCCTGCTCCTTATACTCCTGTCTCTTATATGCCGAGTAAAGAGATTGTTGTTAGGAGGAGGAGGAGGAGAAGAGAGAAGAAAGAAGAAAAGAAAGAAGAAGAGAAGAGAGAAGAAGAGAAAGAAGACACACAAGCACCCAGGAGACAGAACAATAACTCACTAACTCATCATTAATCTCCTCGTAAACACCACACAAAAGGACCTGACCTGACCTGACCTGACCTACCAATGACCTGAGCTAATGACCCCTTTAAATGACACAAAGGGGAGACCAGCGTCGGCCCTTTTAGAGAGAGAGAGAGAGAGAGAGAGAGAGATAAGGGACACGAGAGAGAGAGAGAGATAAGGGAGACGAGTATGTCGTTTACTAGCGCCATCTAGGGAGCGGAGGCAATAATAACGTGATACTTTAGCTTGTGAGGATGGGAGAGGAGAGAGAGGAAGAGAATAAAGGAGGGAGAGAGGGAGGAAGAGAAGAAAAGAGGGAGAGAGGGAGGAAGAAAATAAAGGAGGGAGAGGGAGAAAGGGAGATAATAAAGGAGGGGGGAAGAGGAGTTGTTTTTGTTGACCAGCGCCATCTCTTGAACAGATGGGACAACAATGTAATCAAGACGGGAAACTCACGCATTAAGGTGTTATGTTATTGTTACGCGGGTTAAGCTTCTTGGAAAACGAGAGAGAGAGAGAGAGAGAGAGAAAGAGAGAGAGAGAGAGACAGAGAGAGAGAGAGAGAGAGAATGTCCACCAGCGCTATCTGTTGAACTGAAACTCCTCCTTAAAGCTGTTGGGTTTATTCCTTTTAAGCTGACAGGAAGGTAAGGAGGGAAGGAGGAAGGGAGTAAGGAAGAGAGGGAAGCGGGAGGAAGGAAGGGGGGCGGAGGAAGGAAGGGAGAGTAAGGAAGGAAGGGGGGCGGGAGGAAGGAGAGGGGGCGGGAGGAAGAGAGGGAAGCGGGAGGAAGGAAGGGGGGCGGAGGAAGGAAGGGAGAGTAAGGAAGGAAGGAAGGAAAGAAGGATACAGAAGAAAATAAGAAGAAAGGAGGGACAAAGGCACGGCGGGAAGAAAGTCGTTTAGTGCTGCCATCTGGGAGCTGAATACAACAATAACTTTATATTCTTAAAAAGAGACGAAACTCTTGCTAAAGTATATTGTATTTATTGTGATGCGTTATAAAAAGGAGAATGGAGAGAGAGAGAGAGAGATACAGAGAGAGAGAGAGAGAGATAGACAGTGAGATAGAGAGAGAGATAGAGAGATAGCAAGACGGCCTTACCTTCTCCACCTTTCTCATCACCCTTAGAAGGTTGAGTCCTGCCAGCTTCTTGAGGTCGGCCACCGTCCACGTAGGGTCAGAGAGAAGCTCCGCGAACAACCGTGGGTAACCAGACACATCTCCCAGCCCCACCGGTAACCTGGGGGAGAGGGGAGACATATTATGGGGTGTTTAGAGAAGCAATGGGGAGGTCTAGCCCCACCGGTAACCTGGGGGAGAGGGGAGACAGATTATGGGGTGTTTAGAGAAGTAATGGGGAGGTCTAGCCCCACCGTTAACCTAGGGGAGAGGGGAGACAGATTATGGGGTGTTCCCAAGTAATGGGAGGTCTAGCCCACCGTTAACCCTAGGGGAGAGGGGAGACAGATTATGGGGTGTTTAGAGAAGCAATGGGGAGGTCTAGCCCCACCGTTAACCTAGGGGAGAGGGGAGACAGATTATGGGGGTGTTTATATTGACGATGGGGAGTATTAGATGCACCCCAGTTCTCTAGTGTGGGATTGGGGAGTTGTATATACACCCCAAGTCTCCTCTTAATCACCTGGGGAGGAGAGAAGGGGAGGGAGGAGGGTTGATGTAAGTAAGCAACATGACATACACACACACACACACCAACCCCCACACCAACCCCCACACTAACCCACACACCAACCACCACCCACACACCAACCCCCTTCCCCCCCCACACACAGCACCGCTCACCTGCACGTCACATCCAGGTAAAGTAATTAACGTCAACACTCACGACAGGTACAGGTGTGTTACAACAGATTCTAAAATTGGAAATCTTATTCATTTTGTGTTTACCTGAGGAGAGAGAGAGAGAGAGAGAGAGAGAGAGAGAGAGAGAGAGAGAGAGAGAGAGAGAGAGAGAGAGAGAATGTGTCCAAAACAGTTATTAATGTTGTGTCTTCGGCTGTAGATAACGTAAGAAAATATTATTATAAATTATTGTTTTTGTCTACATGATAACAGATTAATATGATAACAGGTGTGGGATAACAGGTAAGTAATAACAGGTGTATGTGTAGGTATAAGATAACGGGTATAGATAACAGCCTCAGGATAACAAGTGTATGACAAAGGTGAAATAACATGGAATTAATAACGGGAGTAATATAACGGGTACAAGATATAACAGAGGTAGAAGATAACACCTGTATATAAACGTGTTCCTATACTTACATGTTTATACCGTCGAAATCTCACCAATTCCTAAGTAGTTGGTTGACGCCTGCCACCTTCCTGACGTGGTTGATGATGTGTTCTGTTAAGGAGAGAGGGAGTTAGTCTGTCTCTCTGTCTGTCTGTCTGTTAAGGGGAGGGGAGTTGGTCTGTCTGTCTGTCTCTGTCTGTTAAGGGAAGAGAGGGGTAGATCTGTCTCTCTGTCTGTCTCTGTCTGTCTGTCTCTGTCTGTTAAGGGGAGAGAGAGAGAGAGAGTTAGTCTGTCTGTCTCTCTGTCTGTCAAACTCTTTTATTTGTCTATCTTTCTGTTTAATCTCTCTCTCTCTCTCTCTCTCTCTCTCTCTCTCTCTCTCTCTCTCTCTCTCTCCTTTCACTCACGTCACTTTCTAATGACTTTCTCCCACCCACACACCTTCCTTCTGGTCCGCCTGTGACGTCATCCCTACGCCCACCTATCCCCTGACTCACTTATGACGTCACACTTTTCCCCCTGAATCGCCTATGACGTCACACATTTCTCTTAACTCACTTATGACGTCACACTTTTCCCCTGGCTTGCCTATGACGTCACACATCTCTCTTAACTCACTTATGACGTCACACTTATCTCTTAACTCACCTATGACGTCACTGATGGCTGCCTCCTTGCTACAGGTGAGGAAGAAGTTGTAGAAGCTGATCATAACCACTCCATCGTTAGCCGCCTGGCCAATCATAGGAGAGAGGAGGCGGGTTTAATGTGATAATCTAACCAATTACAGTCGAGATGAGGAAAGGGTGCATTATATCGACTAATCATAGGAGAGTAGGCGGGGTCTGTGTGATAATCTAGCCAATCATGTTCAAGATGAGGGAAATTGACCAATCACAGGAGAGAGGAAGCAGGGTTAGTGTCATTAGACCAATCACGCTGGAGATGAGGGGAATTGTCTAATATCGACCAATCACAGGAGAGAGAAGGGGGGAGTACAGTGATAATCTGACCAATCATGTTGGAGATTGGGAGAATTAATGTAATGTATGGACCAATCAGAGGAGAGAAGAGGCTGGCTTCGTGATAATATAACCAATCATAAAGACGGATTAGATAACTAAACTACTGATTCCCTTAGAGCGAAAGACCAATTATAATTATTAATAAAAGATAAGAATAATAATTAAATAAGAAAGGTGTGTAATGATTAGTGAACAGGTGTGTAATAATTAGTGAACAGGTGTGTAATGATTAGTTAATGGTAAAAGAACGTGTGAGAGTTGATTAACGACACACACCACACACACACACACACACCACACACACACACACACACACACACACACACACACACACACACACACACACACACACTACTACTTTACTGTCAAGTATAACGATCATCCAGCTATGATACAATGATATGAGTTATTAAGGATGTCACCTACTGTAGGTTGGTGAGTTCTGAGGTGACTAAAGAGGCCGATACGGGACCGGCAGAGTCGTCCACTGATGGTGCACGTGTGGGGGGCTACATCTAGTGCGGGAGGAGCGGTGGCAGCGTCTTTCCGGCGTTGGCATATGTCTGCCTTGGTTTACAGTCAGGCTAACTGGAAAGTATTGACACCTTCTCGTGTGGTGCTCCTCCAAGCGTTACGGTGTGGAGTAATCGTCTCCCAGGTGAGGGGGTCCATTTGGCACCTTTTCAGGTTTGTCTTAAGACTATCCTTATACCTCTTCAGTTGCCTCGATGCTCCTACAGTTGGTGTCAGCGAGAATACTGGCATCTGTTCTCTTGTCTTCCCAGCTAACTCGGAGGATGGAACGTAGACTACGTTGGTGAAAGTCTTCAAGTGCCTCGAGGTGCCTCCTGTATGTGACCCATGTCTCGCTGCCATATAGCAGGGTGGGGAGGACCACTGCTCGATATACGTGTAACTTTGGAGATAATTTCAGCTCCCTACAGCTGAAGACGCGGGTACGGAGTCTGCCAAAGGCTTGAGGTGCACATCTGATCCGACGTTGAATCTCTTCATCGATGTCCGCGGTGATTGTCAGGTGGGAGCCGAGATACTAAAAGTGGGCAACATTAGAGAGGGTAGTGCCGTTAAGCTGGATGGATGGTGGAGGTGTGGCTGAACCAGGAGCAGGTTGAAAGAGAATCTGAGTCTTACAAACATTCACCTCAAGGCCGAAGTGTGCATCTGCGTAGGTGTTCAGGATCTCCTGTAGGCCGTATTCAGTGTGAGCAACAAGAATGAGGTCGTCTGCATACTGAAGTTCAGTAATGGAAGTTGCCAACGCCTTTGTTCCTGCCTGGAGTCGTCTTATGTTAAAAGATCCTTCATCCGGTTCTCGATGTCCACCCTGCCGGCTAAATTGGCACTGGCACGAGTAAGGAAGGCAGCCAAGAAAATTGAAGAGAGAGTTGGTGCCAGTACACACCCTTTTTGAACCCTCTTTTGGATGGGGAAGAACTCGGAATGGGCGCCATTGTGCAGGACACTACCGTTTATGCCATCGTGGAGTTGCCTTACAATGGCGATGAATTTAGAGGGAGAGCCAAAACGGCTGAGGGTCCACTAGAGGGCTTCCCTGTTGACCGAGTCGAAAGCCTTAGTTAGGTCGATGGAAGCCATGTACAGGTCACGACGCTGTTCTCTGCACTTTTCCTGTATCTGGCGGGCAGCAAAGATCATGTCAGTGGTGCCACGTGATGGTCTAAACTTTAGACCATCACGTGGCACCACTTCCTCCCAGAATCACAATGTGAAGTGGGAGCTTTCCTCTGACGAGCTGATGATCAGTGTCGCTTAAGGATGACCTTACTGGGTGTGGTTGCCCAGTCAAGTTAGATCTTTAGGCAGGCTATGTTTAGCCATCTCCCCATGTGGGGTGAGCAGAGTGGCTCCTCGAAAGGGCTGCTCAGTCGCACAGACAGGACAGGATTGCACTGCTGCCTAGATCCCAGTGCATAAACGACCATCTTATCTGTGCTGCCCATGTGCAGAGTTGTGACTAGAGACTCCCGGCAGTCATCTCTGCCTGTCCCCGTCGCCACTCGTCCGTCGCCATAGGACTTTTGGGGGTATAGGGGTTTTGATGATGATGATGATGAGAGGTATGATGAGCTGGATGATGGCTGCACGTGAGTTGATTTATGTGGTGAGGCAGGGGCACATACACACACACACACACACACTCTCTCTCTCTCTCTCTCTCTCTCTCTCTCTCTCTCTCTCTCTCTCTACTCACCACCTTCTTCAGGATGTGGTCAGGGGACGTTCCTCTCTCTCTCTCTCTCTCTCTCTCTCTCTCTCTCTCTCTCTCTCTACTCACCACTTTCTTCAGGATGTGGTCAGGGGACGTTCTCTCTCTCTCTCTCTCTCTCTCTCTCTCTCTCTCTCTCTCTCTCTCTCTCTCTACTCACCACCTTCTTCAGGATGTGGTCGGGGACGTTCCTCGGGTTCTTACAGATAGAGTACACGGAGGAGTGGCTGAAGATGACCGGCGCTCTTGACACCTCCAGCGCCGCCTTCATGGTCGCCTGAGACACATGTGAGAGATCTACCATCAGCCCCAGACGGTTCATCTCTCTCACTACCGTCTGTGGGAGAGAAGTGAGGGGTGAGAGACACAAGTGAGAGATCTACCATCAGCAACAGACGGTTCATCTCTCTCACTACCGTCTGTGGGAGAGAAGTGAGGGGTGAGAGACACGTGTGAGAGATCTACCATCAGCCCCAGACGGTTCATCTCTCTCACTACCGTCTGTGGGAGAGAAGTGAGGGGTGAGAGACACGTGTGAGAGATCTACCATCAGCCCCAGGTGGTTCATCTCTCTCACTACCGTCTGTGGGAGAGAAGTGAGGGGTGAGAGACACATGTGAGAGATCTACCATCAGCCCCAGACGGTTCATCTCTCTCACTACCGTCTGTGGGAGAGAAGTGAGGGGTGAGAGACACATATGAGAGATCTACCATCAGCCCCAGGTTCATCTCTCTCACTACCGTCTGTGGGAGAGAAGTGAGGGGTGAGAGACACATGTGAGAGATCTACCATCAGCCCCAGGCGGTTCATCTCTCTCACTACCGTCTGTGGGAGAGAAGTGAGGGGTGAGAGACACGTGTGAGAGATCTACCATCAGCCCCAGACGGTTCATCTCTCTCACTACCGTCTGTGGGAGAGAAGTGAAATTGAGAACACATGTGAGAGATCTACCGTAAGCCCCCAGACAGTTCATCTCTCTCACTACCGTCTGTGGGGAGAAGTGAGGGGTGAGAGACACATATGAGAGATCTGCCATCAGCCCCAGACGGTTCATCCTCTCTCACACCGTCTGTGGGAGAGAAGTGAGGGGTGAGAAGACATGAGAGATCTACAGCAATACACATGGCGTA